GGGGAGGAGCGTATGGGGCAAAAAGTAAAATCAGACACAACAACTGCTGCTGTTTTCAAAATAATAAATGGGGATTGGATCGTCAGATTGTACAGACAAGGAATGTCTAATGGTGGGTGTATATTTTATGACCCATTATGACGGAAATACTAGAACTCAGGTTGTGAGGCAAAATGACCAACGGTGGACAAGTAACAACATGGACCGATAATATTATGAAGGCATGGACTGGCCTAAGTTTGACAGTGTACAGCGGCAGCTAGTGATCGACAGGAGTGGTTGGCGGGAACACAGCAGATGACGCACGCTGTTCTTACACAAAAAGCTACCTTTCTAAAAATGTTTAAGCAGTTGGGGTATAAATTGGAATTCCTTTTGACGTATCCTTTCTGTCCCTGGGCTGAAACGCTTAGTAAAGTATAATTGGCAGTGTACATTCCAACATAACAAATGACATGTAGCGCCTTTGGATGAGAAAACTGATAAACGTGTTCAGAAAGTAACTTAAATGAAAAGAAAAAATGAATGGTTTTGCATGTATCCCTTTGCAATTTAAAAACGCAATACTTGGTTCTTTACTTAATGTGTCCACTCACTACTTTAACAACAATAAGTAGTTGGGTTTTTTTATGTGACCCACTCCGCACCCACCCCTATCCCCTCCCCCTTGCAAAGAAAATTAGTATCATTTGAGACTCTTCATTTTATAATGTGCACTCTTGCAACGACAAGGATGCAGGTTTTACAGATAGTGCTGAACGTAATTTTGGAATTCAGCATTGGGGTTCAATATCTTGAGCTCCTCTCCTAAAATAACACATTTGACGTTTTTGGAGGACAGACGACTACCCCCCCAATTTTTGGGACTGGAAGACCAAAGTGAACACTTTTTAAACATGTATTCTAGCTCATATAAACAACTCTGTGGCCATTTTCTTATGCTATATTCGTTTGACATAATACTCTATCTATTATCAGTATTATCTGTCATCATTATTTTTTATTATTGTTATCATGATCAGTTTTAGCACTACAGTTATAATTGTTACCAGTTACCACTATTATTACCATTATCATTGTAATTGTTATTACTATCTTTATATCATCATCATCATCATCATCATCATCATCATCATCATCATCATCATCATCATCATCATCATCATCATCATCG